TCAGACGAGTTTAAGGATGAAATTGGTTATTCGTCCGCCAATTCAGTTAACGAAGATCGATCTATCAACGAACAACAACAAAAATCGAGACCAATTTCACAAGTCTCTTCTAGCAGTCTCAATTCTGAAAAAAATGAAGATAATAATCATTATAATAATCAAGCTGAAGCCGAAGTTAATGACGATTCTAAACCTGACAGAAATGTTAATGATGAGATTACCGATATAAAATCTCCAATTAGTATTAATGTAACTAAAAGCTCTACCATTTTTTCACACCACCAAGAAGAACCATCTACGGTGACTACCGCACCCCAAACTCCGCCTAAATTTCCAGCGACACCTGGATTTGTTGAGGAAGAAATTAAACATGTTTATTTAAGCCATAATATTGAACAAGATCGTGAACTTGAAAATAACGTAGACCAAAATGGTCAAATTCATCGTGTTGAAGAAACTTCTCAGATTTTGCCATCACTTTCACAAGTTACTGAGACACAAATTGATATCACTCGAGAAACCCCTCAAATTCGTCAAAAGGTAATAATACAATACGGTTTAATAATAAAATAATTTATATATATATATGTATATATTTTTTTTAATTATATTCTATAATTTATAGCTTGAAGAATTCCAAACCACAAATGAGTCTTTAATCAACGTCAGAAAACAGTTGGAATCATTCAAAGCTACAAACGAATCTTTGAACAATATTAAAAATCAATTAGAATCCAAAATCGATGAACAATCACAACAGAATTTTAAATTATCTTCATTGGAGTCAATAATGACTCGTCAACTAGAGATGTCCCAAAGAATGGAAGAAACTATGAGAAGATTAGAAACTAAAGTTAATCAACAAAAAGAAGAACTAGATGGTTTATTGGCTGGTCGTATGGAAGATACTGTTCGAAGATTAGAATATAAACTTGACGAACAAAATAAAGAGTTGGAAGGATTGAAACAGATCTTAGGACAATTGTACGTAAAATTTTTTATATTGACAAATTCTGGTGAATAAATTTTTTTATTAATTCTTTTTCTTTACGTTTATCTTTTATATAGGCAAATGGCACATCCTCAACAATTATTGATAGAAGCAGAGCCAGTAAATATTATTTAAAAAAATACATTTTTATTAGGAAATAATTTTTTAATTCACTTTACTTACTTTTCACATCTATGCCATAGGCAAATCAATTTTCATCATCTACAGCGATGACGATAGCGGCACAACATCCGAGAGACACCCTTGTACATACATTTGTGGTTAAACCATTGGTTAATACTATTGTATATTCGGCGAGGATTACTACATCAGTCATGTACGCAGTCTACGTAAGACCTGTTGTAGGTTTGGTGAAGGCTGTTAGAGGGTAAAGAATAATGTGGGGCACACATATTTGAAAATGATTCAAAGAAGGAAAATTTCTAAGTTTAAAAACTAAACAGATTTCTGGAATGAAAATCCGTTCAATACGTATCAAAAGCATGAAGTTAAAAATATTACATAATTTACAGTAGTTCTTTTAGTTATCTTCCCATTTCAAGAAAAAAATACGTTTTTTTTTCATTACATTATTTATATTTCAATTTTAATTTCAAAAAACACCTCTTTTTAGTTTAAGGCATTGTTAACGAAAATTTATTATTTATTTTTTTTGTACATAGTTTCTACCATTTGTTTTTTTCTTTCCACGCCTTGTTATGGATTGGCATTGTTTATATGATGATTGTTTTTAAGACGCGACCATTATAATCGTAGGCGGATACTTGAAAAAAGATTTTGTAATATTAACGAATCCTCTTTTTTTTTTTTTTTTTTGTATATTAGCTGATGTTTTTTTTACCGTGATTCTTTGGTAGCTTCGAAATTTCCTCCTTTTTTTCCTCTTTTCTTTTATGATACATTAAAATTTTAAGATTCTGTTAGTGAATTGTGGCTCTATTTATAATGACCCCTTATCACTGTTTGAGATTATTTTGGGGGTTTTTTTTTTCTATTTTTTATTTATTTTGTTCTTTTTTTGTAACAAAGAAATAAACAAAAAATTCTAACTGTATATCGCGTTTGATTACAATTGAGGTTTAGCCATGTAATTCTCGAGCCTATGATTCAATTAATATCGATATTACAATTTTCTTATAAATTTCAGGACATTATGATTAGGATGTTTTTACATGTTATCCGTCTAAACTTGTACCAGGATACCGTTTTGACATGTTAGTGGCACATTATAATTTCAGTGTTACAACTGAACAATTGAACAATTGGAAATCTGTCTAGCATTCTGTGTCCAAACTGTCTAGTAAAAAAGCAATGGATTAAGAATAATAGATACTAGACATAAAAATTAAAAAGAAATTATAATTAAACAGGATTAAATAAACTAAACAACTAACAATACAAATATTATCAAAATAAGATATATCATGTAGAGATACTGTAATAAATACTATAAACACTCTAAATAATCAGTAAATAAAATAGAATCAAAGATGTATATTACAGTCAAATTTTTAGCCAGGGTGACCTCCCAAAATGTTATGCTAGTTTATTTGAAAAATTTATTTAGGCACTTAACATATCTGGTTAGACAACTAGCATTATAGAAGACCACCCTGGCTATTTTAAAAATTTTTATAAAATATATCACTGGACATTGGGTATACACTAGAAAATCCAATGTTTAGTGAAAAAGCACTTGATATGTATGCTGTCCAACTCTGCACTACGTATAACATATTTATACGTAACATATATAGTGTTCAGGCCACAAATATCATTATTAACACTTAGCTTTTATTAAATGTCAAATCATGTAAATGGTAGCACATAATCATCTTTCGTACACCTCAAGACATTCACGTGCAAATTTGTTTGCACTTACCGTTACTGAATGTTTTTAAGTTTCGATAATCATAATATCCTGTAAAAGCAGTGTAAGAGAAAGCATTATAAAAAGAATACAAAACAAAAGAAGCTACAAATATAGTATTATTACAAATCTTTAACTGTAATTCTTTAATTGTAATTTATATAAATTAAAATATAAAGTAACCGTATTTCAATTTAAAAGTAATTAACTTTTTTATAATATATTTTCTTTTTAAAATTAATGCAGTAATAATATTATTCAACTTAATAGCTTTTTTCAAATTTCATTATCTCAATACATATTAATTACATATTAATATTACTATACTGTATATCCAATTTCCAGTTACTGCAGTAATATCACGATATTACCATTTTCTTTCTCTTTTTTTTTGTATGACTATTTGAATAATATATAAGTTGTTATAAAAATTACCGATTACCGAGTTTTGGGTTATTACTTTAATATATGACAAAGATGAATTTCGTGTATAAATATAATGACGCGTATTTGAGAAAAAAAAAAGCTTTAGAGATGAAACTTTATCGTTTACGTTATAGTTTATTTTAGAGAAATGACTTCATTTTTTTTTCACCTTAAAAATAAATATTTAATGAGAAATCGAATTTCACATAAAAAGTATCTTCAAAAAAGTTTCTTTTTTTTTCTTTCTTTGAAGAGAGATAACAAAATAAGCGCGTTTAAAGGAAATTTTTTCAAACCATCAGTACGCTATAAAGAATACCATAAAGAATACTATAAAGAATACTATAAAGAATACTATAGTTTTTTTTTTTTGCTCTCAAAGTAAAGTAAAGTAAAGTAAATATAAAAAATTATATTATGAACATGCCGAGACACATTAAACGAAGTCTCAGCGTGAAGAATATAATTATCCATCATAACTTTATATCACAGTGTAAAGAATTATCTAAACCAGTCGCGAAAAAGGATAAAGGTGGAATCAAACCAGATGGTGATTTACCAACAGAGATAAATACCGGAAGTGAACGTAGAAACAAATGTATGCAAAGAAAAAAAATTATTAAGATTATGACTCTGTTCACTTAAAATTTATTAAACCATATATTTATTTTTCCATTTTTTATTATATTACACATTACATAGATATAAAATTGATTTACGATGCATTGCGTAAGACGATTACGGAACCTGATCCAATTCTAAGTAAGCAAATCTAAGCAAGAATACCTTTTATAAAACCGTATAGTCTAAATAAATACTTAATTCTTTAAAATTCATAAAAATGAGCAGATGTGAGGCAGAAAATTCTTGATATTGCTATGCGAATTGAAAATAAAATATTTCAAAATTCTGATCAAATGATAAATGAGGATGATTATAAAAGAAATTGTTATTCAAAGTTATGGAATTTAAAGGATAAAAATAATCCTAATTTCGTCAAAAAAGTTGCTTCTGGTGTGATATCACCGGAAGATGTTGCAAACATGACTAGCGAAGTACGTAACATTCTTGCATGTCTAATAAAATTATTATACGTATAGTATGATAAAAAAATTGATTTTTTTTTTTTTTGTCTTAAATAGGAAATGGCGTCACCAGAATTAAAAAGAAAGAATGCAGCTGTACGACACCAATGGTTCCAACAAACAAAAAGGCCGCAAATAGATTTGAAACCTATGAAATTGGATAGCGACGGTTCATTATGTGGTGCATTTTCAGGATCTGGTCCTACAATTTGGGTACAACGTGAAGTTACCAACACTTTTACAAACGATGACACAGATTATGAATATTACAATAACGATCGATTTTAAATCTTTGTGTATGTATATAAAGATGTTTTATCATAATATAGATATAAAAAAAAAAAATTCATTTTCGCACTTTAGCAATTAGTTTGACTTTCCAATTAGATTATGTAATAAATGATCACGTGTTATTTTATAGCTTTAAAAAATTTGGTTTGTAAAACATCAATCCGAATTGTTTGTGAATATAATTTTATAAAATGTTTTATATATCTAAATATAATACGTAAAAGTGTTGTCTTTTATTTAATAATTTACGGTATAACTAGGTGGATTACTGTAGTACTGTATTACTGTATTAGGGGATTATTATCTATCTGACTAATTAGAAGGAATCATTAATTGATTCAATATACAATTTTCGAAGTTTTAACCCAACATTCCTACGTCTTCTACCTTCAATATACTTCAATGCTTCATCGTAAGTCTTTGGCATCACTCTACGAACGTCATCCAAATTATTTGAGGTAAAAGTAAAATGAAAAACGTTTGTAGTTTCGCGTTTTTCATTTTCAATGTCTATAACATCGGCCGTGACCTGCATGTAATTAACATTAAAAACATGAAACCATTTTTTTTTTTAAAAAAAAAAAACAATTGCACGTACCGCAATTTGGAAACTTTTATGTGGTGGCCCTGGTGAACAAACTATTTGAGAACTCATATTTAGTATTGATCCGATTGGAACTGATTTTCGAAAGGAAATTTCATCCAAGGCTAAGAATATTGGTCTGCTACGAAGAAATACGCATGCAGTTGAGAATGCAAGCTATTATTTATTTAATTTTTCAAGGTTGTTAGTTAAATTTGTTATTATTATGAACTATTAAACAATGATACAATTTGGAAGAAGGTAAGACCTCATAAGCCAATAACATAAGATATCCCCCAAAAATATATCCGTGAACATTTCTGTTCTATACATAAGAAAAAGAAAGCATGGGAAACATGTCTAATATTTAATTTAATGCTCATATATTTTCAAACCTGCGGTGTCATGAGCGTCACGGACTCCATGGTAGTATTATCCATCCACACAAAGTTGTTTTGC